ACACCATTGAAAGCTTTCCAATTAGCAGCCAAGAATTGAAGAACKAAAGGATATTGTGGTGAGAGAAATGGATCCTTAGAGGSTTTTGCGTTTTAATAGCCCCTTGGGTGTATTGGTTGCTGAGTCCATGAACCTCTCATCCTGAGAGGAGATTGAAAAAAATCTTTCAAGAAGTTAAAGTCAGAAGTAAACCCTAAAGCTTCTTGGAGCATTAATGGGTCCCGCTGATGGTCATTACCAAAGAAGGCTCTCCAGGGACTGATTACAGCAGAAAGATGGAGGCACTGATTGCAGGTAAGCAAAAGAATTGTACAGACGTCTCTGATGCCAAGTCAACCTTGATGTGCTTCATCAAGCAGAACAGCCAGACACTGACAGGCAGSCTGTGGGCAGGGTGATCCTTTCCCTCACATATTGCTCRAGGCTCTTCCTGGGGGCARTGTGAGGATGGGGGCATGCAAGGACAAATTCAGAACAACAATATGGAGGYCTCCTGGACTCCTTCAATGCAAGGACTTCTACTCATATCTCTCTGTCCTCACTTGTTTTTCCTTGAAACACAAAGCCWGGGGATGATCAYAGWCTCTCTCAGGGAGACCTGTAGCACCACAGGTCTAYCCTTCAAGTGATGTTTTCTTTTCCTAATGTGACATCTGAACACCACAAGATGYTGTTTGTTGTGCTTTCTCCTTCTGATATGGCTTCCCACTGCCTATATAGGACCCATCATCTCTGAAACCACCTGTCCTTAGTCTCCAGTTCACCAGGATAAAGAAACTCAGTTCTCTCAAGCTCTCTACATGGACACAGTTATCCCSCAGTACACGCAGRACTTGACACTTTTCTTGCAAATCTCCATGAGGTGCTTGTTCTTCAAATCATCCAAGGGTCTCCAGGACTGAAGAACRTGTGYGCCAACAAACAAACAAACAGAAYAATGCAGGACAATCTCAGTASAGTAAACARATTTGGGCTAACTGTATCAGAGGATATAAGGATGGTGAAAGACACAGCCTCAAAAGGGGTGGGGGGGAAAGCGAGGAGGAATTAAAAGTTAAGGAAAACATTGTTCAGGAGCATTTGAAGATTCATTCCTAGAAGTTTTCCATCTAAACCATTCTGAATGGAGGAGGTCAAGAAAGCTCACCTACTTTCACAAAGGGGAACCTGTCTGCAGATACAGATAGAGAAAGGGAAGAATTATGGACTCCTTTAGGATGGAAGGATGAGGATGACCCTCACAGCAGGGYCATCACTGGGGTCAGCGAAGTTGCTCTGCATTTCATCCAGTCTGATCTTGGAAATGTCCAAGTGGGGAGACTGCACAGCCTCTCTGGGCACCCAGTTCCCAGATGCTTGACCATCTTCCAAAGGTGGGAAAACTTTTCCCTATCTCCTCCATGAATAAATCTTATTTCAACTTAGGCTTATTATCTCTTGTCTTGTCACCATGCATCAGGATGAAAATCCWGGGTCCATCTTTTTGAGGATGCCCTTGTAGCAATGCAAGGCCTGCCAAATGAGATCCCTCCAAAGCCAGTTGTTCTGCAGATTGAAGAAGCCCCATATTTTCACAGTCAAGAGTTGCAGCTCCCCGGTTATCTTGAGGGTCCTCTGGCAAATTTTCTCCCAGTTTCCAACTTTTGACTTTCCCCAGGGATCCACACTGGACACAATATTCTACATGCAGTCTAGGGAATACTGAAAAGAGGAGAATCAGCATTTCCCTCCCACTCCTAGCTCATTGGATATAAATCAAAACAAAGAAATTTCCATCTCTATATGAGGAGATGTACGGGTAACAGAACACTAGAACAGGCTGCCAGAAAGGCTGTGGAGTCTCCTTCTTCGGAGATCTTCAAAACCCACCTGAACGTGGCCCTGTGCCACGTACTCTATGTGTCCCTGCTTGAGCAGAGAGGTTGAACTAGATGAGCACTAGAAGTCCCTGACAACCTCAACTATTTTGTGATTCTGTGATTCTGTTCCTGCTCATACAGGTCTGAATGCTTTTGGCCTATTTTGCTGCCAGGGAAAACTCCTGGCATATTTTTRCCTTCTGTACAGTAGGGCACTGAGGTCCTTTTCAGAAGATCTGTTACTCTGGCACTCAAATCCCAGCTACACTGTGGAGTGTTGCTCTATCTCTGGTGCAAGATCTGACATTTGATCTTGGTGAACATTGTGAGGTTTATGAAGCTCCTTCCTCCTGCCTGCCTAGGTCCATCTGAAGGACATCCATCAAAGAAATGCCTGTTCTCTCCCCTGCAGTTTTCAGTCAACTACAAGCGTGGCAAGTATTCCATCCTCCATKTAAACTAATAGAGATGGTAAACAGGTCAGGTTCCTGGACAGATTACTGTTGTCCATGTCTTTCTGGCCTCCCAAAGGAGACTACCCATTCACCACTGCCATCTGAGCCTGATCAGATGCCAGTGTATGTCTTTGTAGTGAGTGGAGCTGTAGTAATAGCAGTTGGCCTAGATCATTTCCACACAGCCAAGAAATTTCCCCATCTGGCCCCTACACGATCCTCTCAAAGGATGAAAGTCTCACACTTGCTCCATCAAAGCAAGCAGGAACTGGTACAAATGTGGGACTACCCTGTCTCTTTAAAGGTCCCCAGATGTTTGTGTGTGGGCAACTACCTCGCAACCTCCATCTCCACTGATTATAATAGGAGCTTTGTCAAGGAGCTTGCATGCACACATCTCTGTTGTGTACCCTTGAGCTTGGGCAAGGGGATTCCCACCTCGTGCATGTTTGTGGAGTTCGTGGGAGTGTGCTGAATCCCACTGCAATCCAAGAGATTATATATGGGCATAGTATGTCCAGATTGACTTTTTGAAGCAACATCTGAATCCTAGGAAAATGAGTCTACTTGCTCCTGTTTAGGGGTCCTGTGTAGCTAAGAGATGGGAAGAGGGGTCTCCAGAGTGGGACATTTCCACCTCTTGTAGTTAACTATCCCCCAGTTTAACAAATTGCAATATTGGAATCAGTCTCTCTGCATTGTTCAGAGAGAATACATAGGCTGACCTATGGAAGCTCAGTGAATGCTTCCCAGCAGGAAGAGAGAAATTTTTCCCTTCAGCAGAATCTCTAGCAGGCTCCTGGGATCAAGGGAACTCAGGGAAACCTGGTAGTACCGCCTCTGTGTTATCATGTGTTCCCATGTTCTCCTGACATGCCTCCACCTTCAACCTGACCACTCCATAAAGAGTACATAGGCAGGGACTAATTGAGCATTCGCCAAATGAAATCTATCTTTTATGCAAATATGACTATAAGTCAATCATCTTGTCCCCTCCCCACCATAAATAGACAGGAGAAGCCCAGAGCCCATTGAGCTCTCCTTCACAGCAGTGGGCTGTACTGCAGAAACATCTCTTGAGCGGAGACACCCTCAGGATTACACCTTGAGGTTGAAAGATTCCTTAACCACGACAGATCTTCAGTAAGTGACTAATAGTATGTTAAAGCTTTGCAAACCTTTGAAGCTTAGTTGAATCTCTGATTGATAATAGTTGTATTCACTGATTTGGGTCTCTGCTTGTAATCCTCTAGACATAAAACTGTTGACCAAGTGTGCGATAGAGATTGGATTGAGATATCCCCAGTCTGCACTGAGAAGGAATTTGGAAAGCAAGGGAGACCATTCYGAACCTCATGACTCAAAGGGAGGGTCTCCTTTACTCCTTCCTGTGACCCTGTCCTCCACTATATATTAACTAAAAGAGCAATAAATAACTGAGCAAACCTTGCCATTGACCTTTTGTAAATCATTGTCTTATTTATTAATGAACTCTTTTAAAATCACTTCATTACCCCAATAAAACATATTATTGCTTCTCTATTACAAGTGAAGTGCATCACTCCTCACAGAGCTCCTTGTGGGAGAAATCCTCACAGCCCTTTGCATGGTAAGTGTCTGGTTGCACAGCAAAGCTACAGAGGTACCAGGAGGAGTCTTCTAAACTCATCCCATTCCATGACTGCTTTTTAAGGATTACTCTCCCAGTTTCTCCAGGAGATGCTTCAAAGCAGGAATTCACTACCACATCATCAGAAGGACAGGGCATCCAGCTACCTTCTTCATGGGATACTGCAGGGAGGTCAATCTAATAGATTCACATAGGTGTATCTAGAGCTCTGGTCCAGAGCAGTGCTGAGTGCCCATGGATTGGATGTGATCTGTGAACACTGAGCAGGGAGACAGGTGGGGAAAGAGGAACTGCTCCCTACAGGGACAACTCTAGGCAGCACGGTCATGGGCAAATTGCCAGTGAAAACTACAAACTTCAGCATTTCTTTACCTCTCCCAACCAGCACAGTCTTCAGTCCTCAGGGCTGTGGGGTCTAGGGCATGAGTAGTTTCTCCAGCAGCCAGATATCTAGAGGAGGAGAAACATCTGAGTGCCCTCATATCTTTCTGTGTCCCTGATTCTCTTGGCAGGAAAAATATCATTTTTTTTCTCCACGTGTCTCCACCTGTCTGTACTGCTCTCGCCCTTCCCCTTGGACTCTCTGATGAGTGAGGGTTTCGATCCAGTTCAAACAATGAACTTGTGGGACATGCCATGCAGACTTGTCCTTTACAATGACTTGCCCAAGTCTCCCTCTGAACTGTTGGGTTCAGGGAAATGTGAGGTGAGTGGGGCTATTGCAGGATGAGCCACATGTCTCTTTAGGATAACCCATCTGTAAGACATTTGAATATTTGACTCCAGGGTGTCTGTCTGGGCTTCAAACCAAGATGTGGAAAGGTATTGTTTACTTTTGAGGGAGGGCGGAGTTCAAGTCCATGAGGTTCTGGCATGACTGGTCAGGACTAAGTCTTCTGCAAACCATGTGCAACCTACCATGGAGCTCAAAGATAGTCCTGCTGAGATTGTGAGAAGCCATGTGTGTGCGTTTGGAGTAGGTTATGAAAAAGTTTTGCTTAGAGAAGTCTCTGTCTTTCCCTGTTTTGACAGTCCTGTGTGACAGCAGTGAGTGAAATGTCCAACAGCAGCTCCCCCACTGAATTCCTCCTCCTGGCATTCACAGACGCATGGGAGCTGAGACTGCTGCACTTCTCACTCTTCCTGGGCATCTACCTGGTTGCCCTCCTGGGCAATGGCCTCATCATCACAGCTGTAGCCTGTGACCACCATCTCCACACCCCCATGTACTTCTTCCTCCTCAACCTCTCCTTCCTCGACCTTGGCTCCATTACTGTCACTGCCCCAAAATCTATGGCCAATTTTCTGCGGGACACCAGGGCCATTTCATACTCAGGATGTGCTGCCCAGGTCTTTCTGCTTGTCTTCCTGTTCTCAGCAGAATATTCTCTTCTCACTGTCATGGCCTATGACCGCTTTGTAGCCATCTGCAGACCTCTGCACTACGGGACCCTCATGGACAGCAGAGYTTGTGTCAAAATGGCAGCAGCTGCCTGGGGCAGTGGTTTTCTCTGTGCTGTGCTGCACACAGGGAACACATTTTCACTACCATTTTGCCAAGGCAACACTGTGAACCAGTTCTTCTGTGAAATTGCCCAGATTCTCAAGCTCTCCTGCTCTAACTCTTACCTTCGGGAAGTTGGGGTTCTTGTAGCTAGCCTTTCATTAGTCTTYGGGTGTTTTGTTTTCATTGTGATGTCCTATGTGCAGATCTTCACAGCTGTGCTGAGGATCCCCTCTGAGCAGGGACAGCATAAAGCCTTCTCCATGTGTCTCCCTCACCTGTTYGTCGTCTCCCTGTTTGTCAGTACTCTTGCTTTTGTCCATCTGAAACCCCCAAATGTYTCCTCCTCATTTCTTGATTTGGTGGTGTCTCTTCTCTATGCAGTGTTGACTCCAACACTGAACCCCCTAATTTACAGCATGAGGAACAAGGAGCTCAAAGATGCACTGAGGAAAATTGTTCAATGGGTGCAGCCTACACACCAGTGACAACAATGTCATGTGCATTTGCTTCTCGTTACCAGAGTATGTGGCATGAAGGATGTGACTACAAAGCAAGTTAGACATTAACTTTTAGAAACACTCAAAGTTCATTAGGGGTAAAACAGGATTGATTTAATAAAGGACTTTTAGACTCTATACTGTGTCAGGAGCCTCAGAACTACAWGGAAGGATCTATGATGGGTGACTGCTAGACACATCGGTCAATCATTGAGGTAGGTCTGTATTCTATCCTAAAGGCATCTTTTATTTACTAGCACTGTCTCCTTACCTTGGGTAGCTACTGATCACAAAGCAATTAGACATTGTTGWCAAAATGCCATAACGGGACATCAATGTGCAGAGAGCTGCTGTCACCTGCCATTCACTTGACTCCTACCATTATGCCATTAAGCTGTCTCCCTGTCAGATATTCTATGCATGTTCTCACTACTCAGGATATGTGTTGCTCATTTTTTTTTCTTATTTTCTATTCTTATTCATGGTCATCYTGCAGACATTCTGGAGTCACTCTGAGCACTGTCCAYGATCTGTGCTAGGAATACTGTCAGTCACGATCATGATGTGGCATGAGGATCTCTGTCCAGCTGGGTCTTYCTCTTGCCTTGATCAGGACAGCTATTGCAGAGACAGCAGCCTCACTCGTGGCCTTAGGCCCCCACAGCCCACGCACACTGCAGGGCAGCACCATCAGCCTGGGATTCTGTAGGGAGCGTTGCAGAAGGACTCAGRAATRACTGGTCASRCCAGCGTGGACACACTCATGTGACTAAAAGTACTCTGTGGAGTAAAGACATCCCAGGAGAAAAGCACGGCAGCAGGGCTCAGATACAAAATGAAAATGAGAAGCAACTTTCTCTCTGCATCAGCTTAGAGCAGGCTGCTCTGTCTCTGGAGCAGCAGGAGCAGCCAGAGGGGCTGCAGGACCAGGGTTCTCGTATTGTTTTTCAGGGCAGAGTAGGCACAGAGGACTGCAAGTGGACAGGGAGTGAGCAGGGCTGCAGTGGGGCTGCAGAAATGGGCTGCATCTGCTGCTGCAGCTGTTGCGGTCACATCCCTTGCAAAGGGTCCTGCCCTGCTCCTAGGCAGACACAGGCTCTGTCCCCACAGCAGGCCAGTATCTGTGAGGAGGGGTTCTGCCCATCCCATTCTGCCCATCCCATGATCAGGGACAGATCCACATGGCAGCTGCAGCTTGGCCTGAGGCACCTCCAGCTCCTCAGCCTCTGCTGTGGTATGGCTGGCATGGGGACAAGAGCTCCTTTGTCTCACATGACAGGGAGAAGAAAGTATTCAGTCAAAAATAATTAAAAAAAAA